TGTTCTGTGAAGATCGACTCCAAACCTGAGGAGCTACTCTGGGTGACACTGGCGGCACATGGGAGCACCTGAGGGTAGAGGGGGAGCAGACATGGGGCCTGCCGGCTCTGCATAGGGGTCACAAAGACTGAGTGCACGGGGGAGGACAGCAGGTCCCGGATGTCCTGGACAAGTCTGCCCCCTTAGCAGGGCCACTTTGCAAGTTCCCCTCAGACCACACCACTACCTGGAGACGCCAGGACTTTGGCTTCCGCATAGCTCATGGCCTGGCCCAGACATCCAGACATTCTGGGGGCCCGGAGGAGGAGGAGGGGCCTCGCCCCCCCCCACCCCGGCGGAGGGGGTGTCTGCAGCACACACCTGCAAACGGCTCAGGACTCGGGCAGTTCCGAGAGACTCTCCTGACACGCCCTGTGCTGCCAGCCACTTTTGCAAAGCTAAAATGGGAAAATGCTAATTCTCGGGTTTGCCCACATTATTGTAAAAAGAAATGTTCTCTAAAAACATTTTAGGACTCCCAGTGTTAAAGCAGGGTAGATTTTCCTTATTGGCTACCTGCTACGCACACGCAGAGACATGCACACGCGTATACACATTTTGACCTGAAGGTTTAAATGCCAAGCCAGGAAAGCCATTCAAGATGAGCAGCCGGCTGAAATGGAGAAGGCTCTCAGAGCAGCTCGTGGGGACAAATGAGCCTCGCGCAGATGCGCAGCTTTCCACTTCACGCAGCCGTCCCACCCTCCCGCCACTCCCGGGACCAGTGCTGATGAAGGCTGGACTCAGAACTCACCCGGCAGGGGAGCAGCCTGGCTCCGCGGCCCAAGGGAACAAGCCGACCTGTGACCCGTCCTCTCTAAGAACCCAGATTCCCTCAGCGGGGTGAGGCCCAGGAGCTCGACCTCAGGAACACTTCAGCCTGGGGTCCGGGCGCCCTCCTGTGGCAGCCATCTCCCTGCCCTGGGCGGGGCGCTCACAGCCCTGGCTAAGGGAGCAGTGGGGACCAGGGGTGCTCAGTGGCTGTTTACAGGCGGTCCCCGTAGCATGAGCGCATGGGTTCAGTTCCAAAGGCCCCAAGTACACAGAAAACCCGCTGGGCATTGTGAAATCAACCATCAAAAGGCAGCTAGCTGCGAATTCTGCAGGACTCTCTGCCCTCTTGCCGGGGAAGGGAGAGGGGCTGGTGGAATACGAAACACGCTGTCCGGATGATCAAAGCCTCGGAGAAATGGATGCAACATTCAAAGAGACTCCGAGAGAAAAGGAGGAGAGTGTCTTCTAATCATCTAACAACTTATTTTTGGCACAGTTTTTACCCAACCACCTTCCATAGAAATAGGACACCTACATGCAAAAATGCATAAAGCGCTGGTACTAAGCATCACAATCTTCCTGTGCCTTTACATCACGTGTGTGCAGGCGTGTACGTGTGCATAGAAACACACGTTTGTATTTGACGTGCCATGCCAGTTTGAAAAGAAGAATAAAAGTAAGCAAAATTGGCTTTTTAGGTAATGAAGTAAAATTAACCCAAATTTATTATGCCTTAGATATTTAGAACATTTGCTAAGCATGGGGACAAGTCTGGTGACAGTGTCTGTTTACTCCAAAAGTCACTCTGAAAGTTAACATGCCAATTACTTCAAGTCTGAGCAAGGTTAAACTGCGCTGAACTATCCAGGAGGCAGATGTCTTGGTGGGTGTCAAAAGTATGACCGTCTGCCCAAAAGATGGGTCTTCCAACAGGTAAAGGAACAGGAATTTATGCGCACACACGTGTACACACATGCACACAGCCCTCACACACAGGTGTACACACATGCACAACCTTTCACACACATGTGTATGCACATGCACACACCTTTCACACACACGCACACAGTGCACACAGCTCTCGCACACATGCACACACGTGCACAACTCTCAAAACCACACGCACACACGTGCACACACATGCACACAGCTTTCACACAGGTGCACAGACATGCACACAGCTTTCACACACATGCATAGCTTCCACACACATGTACGCCACTCTCGCACACATACACACATGCACACAGCTCTCACAAACATATGCACACAGAGCTCTCACACACACGCACACACATACACAAATGCAGAGCTCACATGCACACAGCTCTCACACACATGCACACACACATGCACACAGAGCTTTCTCACACACACACACACACAGAGCTCTGAAGTCCAGACTCTATGAAACAGTTCTAGTTTGAAGAAGAAAGTGTAAGCGTGTAAAGATGTTTGCACCAGAATCCAAGGATTCGAACTCCTTTCTGCTCTCAAACCATGCAAAGGAAAGCCCACTGACTGCCTGGGGTGCCCGCGGGCCCCAGCACGGCTTACACGTAGCGTGGCCACCGCATAGACATGGTGGGCGATGTGGACCGGAGCTTCGCCAAGGGCCAGCTACGTAGGAGCCTCCCAGGTCCCAGAGAAGGATTCGCCAGGATACTCACCGTCGCTGTGGACCTGGGGATTCGTGGACTCTCCTTCTGGACCCCCATGGAGACGCCCTGCCACCCCGGACCCACTCTGAGCACCGTCTTCCTCACCCGCTCAGAGCACCTGCTCACTCCTGTCCTGCCCACAGGACATGCGTGGCTACTCCGTGTGCAGAGCAGCTTCATGCTCTGCATCAGTAACAGCACCGCCACCCGCTGTTCTTCGTCCCTAGGTCACCGGCTTCTAATCTCGGACAACACCCTTTTCCCTTCTGGAATCTCTAAAAAGACGCGTTGACTATTCCCATCATGACCCCATGAAGTAAAGCCCACACTGAACCGCGGAGCGCTCCTTCCGTTCCTCCCTGCTCGCACACCTCCCTTCTGTCATGGGCTTAGCGAGGCACAGGAGTTCTGAGTTTATAAACAAATACCGGGTGCAGGGAGACACTTCCTGGAGTTTGCAGCTTTGCGTTTGCAATATTTACTTTTCACACAGGCTCGCACTGGAAGGGGACCTCCGCAGCACTTACAGAGAAGCCCCGGGAGACACCAGCATCTGCTCCGCTCACGCTGCGCGGCGCCTGTCCTGTCGGGCACAGTCGTGCGAGCCCATGCGGCATGACTCTGCCACACTTAAAGCTGCCCCCACGCAACCTTCGGCCTCACTGGTGAGTCCTGCTCTGTTACAGAGCAGATCAGAACAACACGGCAGCTCCCGCCGAACTGTTCTCAACACTAGACGACCCACTCTGCGGGGAGAAAATCCCCACATTTAAACCAAGTAGTCCCTAAAGGGAATTTTGTAGTAATTTCAAAACTAAACCCATCAGAAAATCTTTGCAATTGTTTCATTTCCAAATTTTCCTAGATTATACTTTTGAAGAGAAAGTTCCTTTCTGTTCTTTTTTCTCTTTTATTAACCTGGATTGAAGAAAAGCACACATTTCATTTATTGTCTGGATTACAGATTCTTATTAAACAAACCACAGCTCATTATAAAATCAATATCGACTTAACCACCGTGCCCTCAGGAGAGCGGCAGGGAGGTCACTCCAGGAAATTCAAACAATTTTCCTGCTGGAAGGACACGATTTTAATTACAGATACTATTAATTAGAGCCATCACCGGGAGGAATATTTTTTGTTAATTATCACAGATTCAGTCCTAAGTATGCATTTTCAACCCATGTTTTTGTTAAGATTAGTCATTTCAGCTTGCGAGTCCAACCTGTGCATTCTATCAATATTTTATATTTGAATTTCAAAGCGTTTCCGAGGATGCCAAGCTGTCTAAAAACCTTCACCCGTGTGATCTCCCACCTCGCCCCATGGAACAGAGTTGGTGTGATCATTTATTTATGGAGTAGCATGGGCTTGGCCCTGCAGACCTAGTGCCCCACACTGATGGTCTTGAGCCAGAGTATTTCTGGAGAAGTTCTTACGAGTTTTGTGACGTTTTTTCAGGCTGCTTCTTCAGAAGTGGTTTTCCTTTGCTTTGAAGCAGAGCTGGTGTGGCGACTGAAACGCCAACCCCGCACACGTGAAGTGGCCATTTCTTCACAAGAAAATGATCTGCTGGCCAGGCTCATGGCCCTCCAGAAGACAAGATTTTCTCCACTCGACGACGGTGCAGAGGATTTAGAAATGGGAGGGAAGCTAGCTCCTGGTCGCCTTCAAGCACAGCGATTTATAAATTCACCTGACTCCTCACCTGGGGCAGGGCCAGGTCGGCCCCCGAGGCAAGGAGAGGCCAGCTCGGATGGGCTTCTGAGCACGCTGCTGGACGGTCAGGGGCACTTTCTGGAAACAGCCTGAGAGCCCACCCATGTGGCCATGACACAGAATAATAGTATTGCCTCAATGTGTCTGTAAAATGCCAGGAATTATTTACAAGACACGGTACACGCAGTAACCACCTGACTAGAAGAAACAGGGGTTCAGACCAATAGGGGGAGCCGCTCCCCAGCCCCCGGGGGCACGCGGAGCCCCTCTGCTTCCCGCCAGAGGACTCACGGCCGGAATTGTGTGTCTTCTGGCCTGAGCGTCCGTCCTCAGCCTGCCTGGCTGCTCTCCACTCCCCGCTGTGCCCAGGGTCTCTCTCCCACCCACTGCCACTAGGCACCACCAACCCCAGCACCGGCAGAGGGTGGTGAGGGGCCAGGCCAGAGGGCCTCTTCGTCAAGACCTGAGTGTGACAAGGACTGCACAGGCATCTTCGAGGATCTGCACAACCAATTTATCTTGCCACGCTGGCACTTTTCGCTAACAGTGGCCAAACTAAGAAAGATAACAGATGGCGCGTAATGCGGGGCCGTGCTGCGTCCATTGCTAACCAGCGGCCTGCCTTCCCGCTAAGACCCATCCACAAACAGGGTGGGGTCCACACAGCGCGGTAACTGGCTGCAAGGTATTTACACGGGCGCTAGAGGAGTTTCCAACTGTCACCTGAAGGAAGGACTGCTGTAAGGGGCCGAGACAGCCCAGTGACCTGTTCGGCAGACGTCCGGCGGCTTTGCTGAGGCCTCTTACCTGGTAGGCGGCGGTGGCATCTGGGCCTGGGCCGGGCCCTAGTCCTGGGAGCTTCTCTTGCAGCTTGGACTGGGAGCTGTGGCGGAGACAGTAGACCAGGCAGGAAGCCAGGAGGACCCCCACGATGCCGGCGAGGGACACCAAGGTGAGCACGATGAACTTGGCCGAGTCTTCCTGCTCCGCCTGATGAGGCAGAAGCTTGAGTCTGCTTCTCTGCAGAGCAGGGGAGGAAGCGTTAGTGCCTGACGCCTGACAGTCACCACCTGCTGGACCACCCTCTTCACATGCAAAGCAGGACACGCGGGACCCTGCAGCACAGGGGGTAGCCACAGGAACAGCGCCCCTCAAAGGACAAGCCGGCCCAGTTCAGACCTGGGGCTGCAGCGTTTTCACCAGGGACTTGAAAGGGACTTGAAAGCACGTCGTTTCCCATTTCCCACCCGTAGCAGCCAAACGCAGCACCTGCCATCTAAGGGCTGTCCTGAGCAAAGGGTCCATCCGTGGAAATAGGCACCGCAATTTGCAGAGCAGAGGCCCCCGGGCGGGTGGGAGGGGAAGGCCTGAGCGTCTCTGGCTAGAGGCAGCAGCCCAAGTCCCAGCCAGCGTGGAGGGAGGAAGCTTTAGTGCCTGACGCCTGACAGTCACCACCTGCTGGACCACCCTCTTCACATGCAAAGCAGGACACGCGGGACCCTGCAGCACAGGGGGTAGCCACAGGAACAGCGCCCCTCAAAGGACAAGCCGGCCCAGTTCAGACCTGGGGCTGCAGCGTTTTCACCAGGGACTTGAAAGGGACTTGAAAGCACGTCGTTTCCCATTTCCCACCCGTAGCAGCCAAACGCAGCACCTGCCATCTAAGGGCTGTCCTGAGCAAAGGGTCCATCCGTGGAAATAGGCACCGCAATTTGCAGAGCAGAGGCCCCCGGGCGGGGGGGAGGGGAAGGCCTGAGCGTCTCTGGCTAGAGGCAGCAGCCCAAGTCCCAGCCAGCGTGGAACGCGCGCTGAGCGTTCCGCGCTACCTTGCCCCCAGCTCTCAGCCCCGCGGCCTCGCCCGCGCCTCCGGAGGAGTCCGGGTCAGGCCCGGGCCCTGCGGCCGCCTGCGGAGCCGGCACTGAGCCCGGCTGAGCCCGGCGCTTCGCACCTGAGTACTTTCCCTGGAAGGAACAAAGACGCTGGGGATGGGGTGGTCCGGGAAGGGGTAAAATGAAGGCCCACACGCCTTCAGATTCTCTTTTCCTTGGCGTGGGGTGGGCGGCGAGAGACCCCGTGGGTCCACCTTCCTCCCCTACGTGCGAGCAGTGCAGGGCGCTCTCCCTCATTAGCTTCATTAGAAGGCGTATTAGCAACAATTAAAAACGCCACAGGAAAATGGAAAGGCCGGGCCGGCCCCCGCCCCCCGGTTGCTGGGAAAATGAATGGGAAGCGCGCCCCGCCTCCGCCTGGTCGCTGCCAGACAAGAGCAATTAGCAAGCCCTTCCCCCGCCTAACTTCGCGGCCACCGGCCGGCTTCCCCCGAGTGGCTGGCCGGCCGCTGCGCTCGCTGTTGGCGGCGTCTGCTCGCATTCAGCCCCGCTCTCCACGGCCTCCCGTCCCGAGTGCACACAGCGCCTCTCCGTCGGCCGGGCCGCTTCTATCTTGTAGTCATAAAGGCCACCTAAGCAATTATCGCCGGCCTTGACTGGAAAAGCTGGTCATTAATTAGCCTCCTTTTGCCTTCGGTGCGGCGGATTAGCGGGCGCTGGGACTGAGTTAATGGAAACGCGGGTTAAATGAGAAAAGACGCCCGGATGTTCCTGCCCGGCGTGCGGCTCCTGCAGGAGCGCGAGGTTTGCAAACGGAGGGAGGCGGGTGGAGGAGGAGGGGAGGGTCGGAGCAGGGGGAGGAGACGCGCTGGGGGAGGCGCGGGTGGCGGG